AATTATCCTGCATTGGTTATTTTTTTATTTTTTGGAGGGGGGCATTTTATTAAAAGGAGATCCACCAAGGACAGACAGAAAAACTTGTCCTCCTCCAACCCTGGCCAGCACAACCTTAGAAACACTTCTTCCTCTACCGTTATTAGAAGTATTTACACAGGAGCAAATAAACATCTACTCAATTAGTTGGGGGAACTTTTTACTTCATCAGTAAGTTTTAAAATCAATTCTTCACAACTTTTTGTAAATGCTGCGTTTATTTAATTTAGTGCCATCAATGTACATGAGGCAGACATTTCAAAACTCTGATTAAACAAGTGTTTCTCACACATCAAAATAGCTTGACAAAATATTCTAACTAATATAAATTCAAAGAAAACTGAAAAGATAGGAGTTTGCAAGATTGAAATTATGTTAATGAATTACAAAAGTACAGGTAGTCAACTTTTATTCCAGAAATTTATTCCATTGCAAATTAACAGATGATGTCAAATATTCTGAGTGTCTTCTATAAAAGCCAAATGAGCTGATTACTTACAAGACACCTGCCAATCAACCTTGACAAATCCAGAAACATGGAACTGGATTCACAAACCTAACTAAAGTGCAGGGATAAGAGCACAGAAAATGTAAGTAGCTTTTACAAACAGAATGTAAACAATTTGACTTATTGTGGTCATGTTATAAAGCATACCATGTGAGTAGATTATGCTCTAACCCTCTGTCAGGTCTAGGGATAGACATGACACTGAAGTAGATTTTAAAATGAGGCAAAATCATACACATAAAGTAACATCCATCAAGACAATTTCAGTTGTAACATTCAATGATGGAATTTACCAATGTGAAAAACAACAAGCAGAAGCAGAAGTGGCCAACTATCTCAATCTACTTCTTGTAGCATCAACCTACAAGAAAAGCCTACTGCTGGGTAACAGACAACATTGGTCACAGCCTGCATAAACAAACAAACAACAAACAAACAAACAAACAAACAAATAAATAAATAATATTTACTCCAGTCTTGAAACTTATGCAACTCAAACCTGTGGATGCTTACCCAGAAGTAACTCCCACTAAGGGCAGTTGGACTTTCTCCCCAGGAAGCATGCCTAGGGTTAGGGAAGAGCAATTAAAACTGGAGCTGGGATGGCACTGACCAGTCAATTGACCACTACAACTGCAGCCCTATAGCTCCCTGACAGCCATAGTAGAGGACATGAGGCAATAATCCTCTGCTTTTAGCTGTGGCAACTCCAAGCTGACACAGCCGAGGAGCCTATATTAGGCCCCTTGTCAGGAAATGGGGCAGTTTTGAATGCACTGAATTGTACACTGCACAACTTTAATACCTCATTTGGGGGCTTTATTATGGCTGCCAGGGGCAGGAACATCGCACTTGGTCAGAGCGTACAATGGGGGCCTCCACAGTGGCAAAGCTTATTCTAACCCCTTCCAGTATCAAATATTGGGATTTAAGATTCTTCACTAGGCCTGCAGAGGAAATCCCAAGAATGCTTATTAGGAAATTCTATTGAAATTGACAAGACTTCCTTCCAAGTGAATATTCAGAATCATAATATTGGAAGTAATGAATGATGAAGTGTTTGACATTGGCCCAAGAAAAATGCCATCTTGGCTTAGACCCAGTGGCGTAGGATGTGGCATGTGGTGGGTGCGGGCTGCCCTGGGTGTCATCACTGAGGGGGGTGACAAAATGGCAAAAATGTGTGTTTTTTAAATAAATAAAAGTTGGGCTCATGACACATTTTTTGAAAAAATAACTCCCTCACCCACCACACCCCCTTCCTACACCACTGCGGGCAGCCAATGCACCCATGTGGCGCCTACCGAGTGGAAAACCGTCTGGCGACAGGCAGCGCTTTTCCTTCACCACCGACGAAGGGGCAGGCTGGGACGGTCTCAGCACCGGGTGTGGCTGGGCACTGCCTGCTGAGGCCACCCAAAACCTCCCGGAGCATCCTTGATGGACCACAAGCCCAGTGGACACAGTGGAGCAGCTCCACCCGGTGAGGACAGGTAAGTTCAGGTGTGGCGGTCGCCAATGCAGCTCTGTGTGTTTCTCTCTCTCCACTAGCTAATGAAACTGTGGGATCCTGCTGGGCTCGTTTTCTGCCAGCTAGGTCAGGCAGGGGACACTGGGCGTCACACCGCGGGGCCTGCAGTGTGCCTTAGCCATGCGTCTCTCCTGAGGGTGAGGCGGCGAGTGGACTGCCTGCAAGCTCGGCACCGCTTTTTTGAGCAGCACAGGGCTTGCGTCTGTCCACTACCTCAGCCACCTTATAGCCGAGGGGGAGGCTGCGGAGAGGCTCCACGCAGCACCCTTGCCTTGGCTCGCCCCGCCCCCATGGGCGGTTCAGTTTGCCCCCAGCTGCAGTGCGCGTGCGTCGCACCAGGCACCCAATTGGCTAGCTACACTCCTGCTTAGACCATCTATACAATTTTTTTCAAAACTGCAGAAATATTATCTCATTCTTCCTTTTCAAGTTCAAAGCAGTAAGAGACAGCTACACAAGTCAATGCTTAAGACTTTGCTGGGATCCATTTTAATTTATATGAACATTCAGAGTAAGCCAACAATTCTGAAGCCAAACTGTGTTTTTAATGTCCTTAAAGTTGCACTATTGGAATAATTTCATCTGTAACTATTTCTTAGGTAGTAAGCAGTTTTTTTTTCATTGGGGTCCTACATTTCATGTTTTCCAGCAACAATAGTTCAGAAAACAGCACAGATAAATGATAACCATAATGAGCCCAATAGCCTTCCTAAAGCCAAATGCAGCACCTCTACATTTCAATCCTCTGTACTGATATGCAGTCTAAGGGTGCTGATATTCGGGGGGGGGGGAACCTTTTCAGTCTTCAGAGCATGACCCAAGTAGAAGACAGGCCAGAACAACAGCGCAGTCTCTATTTCATACTGTGCTCCTATGAATGGAGAGAAACATATCTACACTACTTGCAGAGTCACCTAGTTCATAGGAAGAAAAACATCATGCACTAATAAAGAACTGTTCTATGGCCACTTTTTGTACAAACAAAATACAAGTGTATTAGCTACACAGAAGCTAATGAAACGTGACTTGGAGTAGCATCATTTTGGCCAAAATTAACAACAAAAACACAAAACTAGAGAAAATATTGATTTGTTTATATTAAACCAGTTAAAGAGGTTATACCAGTTTCAAAGAGAATGTAAAGCAATGCAATTTTGATTAATCAATATATGCATCAATGATAAAGCAGCCCTTTTCATGGAAAAAATATGTTCAAAGCTTTTTCTGAGCATCGCTTAGCACAGAATTATAGAAATAGCAAACTGCACATATAGCACTTCTGTAAAGAAGAATGTCAAAACAAAACTGCCAAGAACGGAACTGCTTAAATTTGGTTTTACTGTAGTTCTATTTACTATAAAACAGATCAGGGCACTAGCATTTTATAAGCAGCAAGTGCTAGGATATAACCTAGCAAAGTCAGAAGCCAGCTCTGAACTGTACTGTACTTTCTGGACGATGCAAGAAAGCCATCTAGTGTTAACATTTAGGAATGAAAATTGAACACAAAAATAAGGTAAAAGAATTCACAGCAGTCTTTTTGTTAGCAAGAATCTTTACTACAAAAATATAGATATCTGTTTTCAAACAATGTTTTGCCAACAACCAACCCTATAAAAATAGGATAACCATGCTGCAGGTATTCAAAGTTATCCTCTAACAAACATTAAAAATGTAGCTGACAAACTCACTTTATATGTTAATAAGTGCATTAGATAATTATCAGCTTCAGAGCAGTCTATTGTCAAAATAAAGCAGTGAGCTAGCTACCCAATAAGAGTGGAAAGCCCTGCAAATGTTGTTAAACCAAAATCCATAAAATAATGGTAAAAGTTTTCCACAAAACTACAAAGGCACTTGTATTGCATTAAATACAGCATAAGACAAGACATTAACAAGGAGAAAGCTTTCTTTTTAAAAAAATGAATTGGTGGTCATGCTTTAGACTCGAAGAAAAACAAGGGGGTAGCAGAGAAGGGAGGGAGAAAACACACAGGACATCGTTTGCCATATGCTATACATAAAAATCAAACTGCTGAAAAATCATTTAGCTGGACCAGACAATGAGAAAATAAATAAATAACCGTATTCTAGCACCTACGATTGATATGCATACATTGTTTTTCAAAACCAAAGGGAAGAGAAAATCGCCCCGTTTCCTCCCTTCCGATATGCCCATTTGGGGAAGGGGAAGCCGTATAAAAACATCCCAGCAATTAGCACACAGCATTCCTTAAAAAGTTAGACTAAACTTGAGGTGTCGGTTTTGGACAACTGTCCAGCGAAACGACGTCGGCAGTCCAACAGATACCACCGTTGTGCCAACCCATGCCCTAGTCCAAGCAGAACCATTTGTTTTGCAAAGCTTATAAATACAGTAGATGAAATCAAGCGATGCATGGCAATGCTGTAGCAGGCACAAAAGCTGTGCGCGAGAGAGGCGAACTCTGTGCTGGGGGGGGGCGAATTCCGACCCCAAGCCCCTCTGTTCCCCCCCCCCGTGCTATTTTTCCACCCACGGGAGTGGGGGTGGCTAAGCTGAGATCCCTGAGGGAGGGAGGAAAAGGCAACTCCCTCCTGCCTTCGCCTCCTCACCTATTCCCAGGCCAGAATAACCTCCTCCAACTTTCCATCTTGACTGCCTGCCTGTCTCTCTCTTGGAGGGGAGGGGAGAGGAAGAAAGTAACGTGAGGAACCTTTGCACCATCTGCAGCAAGTGCATGAAGAAAGTGTCGCTTCCCCAACCCCCCACCACAAACCACACACACACACACACACACACACAGAGAGAGTGAGTGAGTGAGTGAGTGAGTGTGTGAGTTCCTGGAGCTGTGGAGAACTAATCCCCAAAAGCCCTCCATTAATTCCTCCCTCTCTCTTTCTCTTCCACCAAAGGGCGGAGGGTGAGGGGATGGCACGGACCTGCTCCTCCTCGGAAGACCCGCTTTCCCCTCAGCCGGACTGAAGGAGCCGCTTCTGCCCCTCACTCTCGAACCCAGCCCGGCTCGGCTCCCCTTCCAGACTCCCTCACCACCTTCTCAGGAGAACCGGCGCGAGAGAGACCCGGCGGCGGCAGCGGCGGCTCCCTTACCTCCTTTCCACACCCCAGCAGCGAAGCCGGGCTGCTCCCAGGCGAAGGAGCTCCGTCCGGTTACCTTCCTCTCCCCCCTCGAAACCAACTGGCGGACTGACTGACTGACTGACTGACTGAGGGAGCGTCTCTCCCTCAAAGGGCGGCGGGGAGGGGAAGGAGGGGGGGGCGACCCGAGCGAGCGCCGCGCGCGCCGCCCGTCCGCTTTAGCCGGCGCAGCTGCCCGCGCGAGGCAAGCTCCGGCTCGGTCCGTCTCAGCCGCCGGATAGGCTGGGGAGGAAAGGAGCTCAGCTTGGCTGCGAGGCGCGGCTACGCCTCCCTGGCTCCTCATTGGCTGAGGCCGCCCCTCGGAGGGCGCCCTGACGCACCATTGGACAGGGAGGATGCCTCTTGTGGGGGGGGAGGACGCCCCGCCTACGTATTAGCAGGCGATCCCACCTTCTGCTGTTCCTCTCCCTCTCTCTCTCGGTAATTGTCTTCCTTGCCTTATAGAGCCCGCTGAGATCCGCAGCCGCCGCTCTTTCCTCCCCACCCCTGTTTCCCAGGCGGCGCGCGGGGCGGGTTCCAAAAGTTCTGCCTCTTAGGACAGCTCCGCTGGGGAAAGTCTCTAAGCTGGGGGAGGAGGCCGGCGGGAAGCCCGGAGCGAAGCAGCTCACCGCCAGAGAGAGAGAGAGAGACTGTAACCAGCCTTGCGCGCTGCGTCTCGGATCCCGGTGGGATTCCTCATAGCGCGGTTCTGGGGGGCCAAATGGGTTTTTTAAATGCGAATATGAAACCTACGTTGACCAGGACGCCGATTTGCACCGCAAACTCCTCTTTTGCGTGGACGAGTCGCTGTTTAAGCGGGGGGGGGGGTGAAAAGAAAAGTGGCCATCGCTAAACTTTAATAAACGTGCCAGCCTCTAAAACTCCGGTGGGGATTCCGTAGCCCTACAGGGCGCATAGGGCAGCCCTTTGCAGAGAGGGGGGAGGATCCTCGAAGCATTCAATGGCATCTCGGTTTCAAGACCCTGGACAACTCCATCGTTGTAAGGCGTTGCCATTTCCTGCTCTCTTTCTGGGGCAGGTGGTGTCCTCGGAGCGAAATCAGAATCACAGAATTGTAAGGGACCGTGAGGGTCAGGTGTGCCAACTTGAATAAAATAGGGGGAAGGGAGGTAAGCCCCGCCCCGCATAATCGATCACATGACACTGTGCACATTTATATGGCAATGCCCATCAATTTGGAGGGGCAACCTCCTCAAATATTTTATTGGAGGGTCAATCCCCCTCAGCCCCTAGGAGTTGGCTCCTATGGTGCAGGAATCTTTTGCCCAACCCTGAGATTAAGACTCTCGTGTTCAGTTCACTGAGCTCTCCCAGCTGAGTGCCAAAACGCACAAACTACCTCAAAGTCTATTTTAAAAAGTAATGGGCACATCTGTGGTAGCCACTGTAAAACAGTGGAAATGAAAAAACGAGAGACAGACAGCACTTTAGAAGCAGGAAGTAAATTTGCACCATGAGTTTTTATCTGAGAAGATAAAATAACTTACATATCCAGGGACGCGGACTTATAAAAAATATTGGGGGGGCCCGGGAAAGCTCATGAATAATAAATAAGCTCATGAATATGCAAATAAAGTGGCTCCGGCCCTAAATAGGGCAAGCCACGCCCCCACAGCCAGCCGATTGGCTGGCTGGGAGGTGTGGCCAGTCGGGATTCCCCTGTTCTCGCGGGGGCTGAAACCGCCAGGAGGAAGGAAATTCCCCCCGGCAGTGCCTTGGCAGTGGCGGTGGTGCTGCGAAGCAGCGAGGCAGGAGCCCCCACCCCCGGCGCCCGAGATTATTGGGGGGGCTGAGCCCCCCCAAAAAAATTTTTGAGGGGGCTCGAGCCCCCTCAAGCCCCATGGGGTCGGCGCCTATGTACATATCTCTCAAATGTATGATGATAAAAGCCACTCTTACAGTAACTTCTGTTCTGAAAACCTTACACTTACAAATTTGCTGTTGTTGGGTGTGTAAAGCAACCTGCCCATCTCTCTAATGAGAAGCATTTTGCTGACTTCTTGCATTATTTCTTATTAAAACATCCACCATAAGAAAAATCTGATTTGACCAGGTCTGGGTACTGATACTTGATAGGAATGCATGGAATGCAGAGACACAGAGGGTTGTGCAGCTCATTCTGAAGGAATTATGTGCCAGGTACCCAGATACAGGAAGGTCACCCTGGGAAGAAAGAAGAAGTGGTCAACATTGATTCTGACAGTGCAATCGTACTCAGAAATAAGTCTGAGTTTCATGGGGCTTACTCCCAAGTAAGTGTGTGCAGGATTCAGCCCAAAGCACAGTTCCCTTGTTGCACTTTGTCTTGAGGACAGGCACAGGGTTTTCAGTAAAGTGCAGATGTACTATAGCCCTATTATTCCCTCTAAAATTTAGAATAATGCACTAAAGTTTTGGAAACAATAATTTTAAGACTTAATGCAGTTTCCAGAAGAAGTGCACTTTCATCTTTATATATATATGAAAAATATTAGCCCCATAAATTCAAACAGGTGTACTCCAGGGGAAAGATGTTATGACTTCAGTATGCTCTGGAAGGCTATTTAATTGATTCTTTTGGGGTGTTTCCCATTAGTAAAGTAGTGATGGGAGAAGGTGTTGTTTTCTTGGCTTCATTTCTTCAGCCCCCTTGGACAAAAAGAATTTGAGAAGAGAAGAAGAGTTTGGATTTGATATCCCACTTTATCACTACCCTAAGGAGTCTCAAAGCGGCTAACAATCTTCTTTCCCTCCTCCCCCACAACAAACACTCTGTGAGGTGAGTGAGGCTGAGAGACTTCAGAGAAGTGTGACTGGCCCAAGGTCACCCAGCAGCTGCATGTGGAGGAGCGGAGACGTGAACCCGGTTCACCAGATTACGAGACTACCGCTCTTAACCACTACACCACACTGGCTCTCAGTGAGAGGCCCCCTCACAGGAATACATGGTCTTGATCCTCCTAAAGTTGACTCAGAATTCATCCACTAGGTGAAATCATGTCTAGAGATGGGCAGTCGCAAGAGTCCAGGCAGTACAGTAGGCAAGATATCGTTCAATTTAATAAAAGTGCTACTGCCACCAACTCTTTTAATCATAACTGTGACATGACAGTAATGAACTCTGGGATAAAGTAGGAACTACGAAGCCCAGAGTTTTTGCAATAGAAAGCAGCCCCTAGATATCCTGCCTTGTAGTGCTCTCTGATTTTATTAATTTTATTTTAAGTTTATGGATATTGTTCATGTATTTTGTTGTGCAAATCATTTGAAGGGTTTTTTTGTACTTATTGTGTATGTAAGACACTGAGATCTTTGAGATAGAAAAGTGATCTATAAATGTCTTTTTTTTAAAAAAAAAAAAAAAGGCTGCAATTTTGAGCAAAAGAATGGTAGGGGGAATGGGTGCTTAACCCCTCCCCATGATGATTTTTAGTTTAAAATCACACACACAAATACCCTTTTTCACAAATACACATATGGAAGCAGAGGGAGAGAAGCTGGGAGGGGGGAATACTTGGCAGGGAAAAGGTTACACATAGGCAAAGTGCTCCTCTGCTCAAAAACACAGTCTCCTGAGGCTGTTTTCATTACAAAACTCATCAGGCCTTCATTACATACATTTTCGTGTAGTGCCTAGTCTGCCCCTCAAAGTTTCAATTGCTCACTAGGAAGGTATGGGGATTAACCATTCAGTAACCCTAGTTTTCACATGGCTTGGAAACAAGCAACAGACTGACATTTACAAGAATTCCCTTGTCTTGTAAATTTCAGTTTTACTGCTAACCTTATTGAAACAGAGCAGGCAGACACAATGAAAATGCCACATGCTCAAGGTTGTTCTAAAATACTCAACCAATCAAGTTTACATTTTAACCTTAATGTATCTGCTGTTGGGTTGTTGTTGTTGTTTTTACCCCAGCTGCTAATGCTCATGTTTTTGTGTTGCATTAGGTTTTACTAATTAATTTGTTGCCTATATTACTGAAGACAATCCTGGCATCTGCTTTGATGAAGAGTGGCCTAGAACTGTTTTAAATAAGTAAAACATCACACACAACCTGACTGCATTCCTCAAGTGTTTAATCAAATCCATTAATTTTTTCCTAGGCAATCTTTGTTTCAAATTGTATACAACATTACCCAGTGTAGATAGTTGCCTCTCTCTCTCTCTCTCTCTCTCTCTCTCTCTCTCTCACCATATATAAAAATAATCCTCTGTTTATTTATTGATTTTTACAAATGTAATTACAAATGAGCATTTTAATTGATTAAATGAAGGTGGCATTCTGTTGAGTCATTAGGTAGCTACTCCCCAGCGAGTGCTAACTGAAAGTGCACTCTTTTATAAACTCAGGGTAGACATATATCCATCTAGGATACACAGGTTTGTGGAGAATTTGTACAGGGTGCATATATTGTAGAAATATATACACTGCACATATATGCACAATGTTAATATGCTATGGCACTGAATGGCTGGTTTTAGTAGTGCCACATAGAGACTACAGTATTAAACAGTATATGAATAGTTTTTTTAAAAAAATCAGACAAGTAATAGTGTGGTGTTAGCTAGCACATTATCAACATTGATCAGCTCACACTCGTTTTGCATTGTGTGGGCAACACATAGTTTTAGTGTGTCTGAATTGTTTTAGTAAATATTTTGAGAGCTGCATTGAAAGCACAACTGCAGTATAAAGGTGAAACACCTGCTTTTAAAACAAAAGGAAACAAGATTTGATAGTCATCTTCAAACATCACAAGGGCCATCACAAGCTTGTTTTCTCCTGCTCCGGAGTGCAGGACCTGAACCAATGGATTCAAGTTACAAGAAAGGAGAAAGTTTAGTTGTAAACATCAGGACTCCCTTGGAAGGTAGTGGACTCTCCATTGAAGGTTTTTAAGCT